TATGTCATATGAGGTAAGGATTGAGGTTCATTTTTCTCCATAAATATATCCAGTTGTTCTAACATTGAAGACTATCCTTTAGCCCTGGCCAGTTTGGCGCGATGGATAGAGCATCGGCCTGTGGACTGAAGGGTCCCAGGTTCGATTCTGGTCAAGGGGAAGTGCCCGGGTTGCGGGCTTGGTCCCCAGTGGGGGCCGTGCAGAAGGCAGCCAATCAGTGACTCTCTCATCATTGATGTTTCTATCTCTTCCTCCCTCTCCCTTCCTCTCTTAAATCAATAAAGACTTTTTTTTTTAAAAAAAAAGACTATCCTTTAAACTATTGAATTGTCTACCTTTATTTCAATACCACATCTTAGTTACTTTAGCTTTAAATAGCAAAGCTTTATATAGTGTAAATTCTCTAATTTTTCTTTTCCAAATTGTTTTGGCTATTCTGGGTCACTTGAATTCACACATAAATTTGACACATAAATTGTTTACAAGAAAGACTGCCAGAATTTTTACTTGAATTCCATTATTTATACATCAACTTAGGGATAATTAACATTTATAAAAGTGAGTCTTCCAATTCACAATTATGGTATATCTCCATCCACTTAGATTTTCTTTCATTTCTTACCAATTTCTGTGGTTTTTATTGTACAAGTCTTGTACAAATTTTGTTATATTTGTCCCTAAGTATTTCATGTTTTCTAATTGTACTGTGATAGCTTTTACATTTCAATTACCAATTATATGTTGCTAGCATGTAGAAACAAAACTGAATTGTCTATTGACCGTGGACCTTACCTTACTCACTTAACAATTCTAGTAGTTTATCTATTTTTTAGGATTTTCAATGTTTGTCTCCTGCAAAGAGTTTAATTTCTTACAGTATGCATACTTTTTCTACTTATTTCATAGGTTGGATCTTCAGTACAGTATTAAATAGAAATGGTGACAGCAGATATCTTGTTGCCTTCCCCAAATCTTAGGAGAAAAACAAACCATTGTGTATGTTAACTGTAGGTTTTTCAGATACTCCCTGTCAAGTTCCCTTCTAATTCTGGTTTGCTCAGTTTTTATCATAAATGGATACTGAATTTTATTTTACACATTTTCTGCACCTATTCAGATGAATGACCATGTCTCCCCACCCCATGTTGTTAATTTGGTCAATTACATTTTTTTTTTTAAAAATTCTAGTGATTCATATTTAAAAACAAATTTGTGGTAAAATACACATAACATACAATTACCATTTTAACCATGCTTAAGTGTACCTACCCATTAGTATCATTAAGTACATTTATTACTGTGCAACCAATCTCCACAACTTTTTCACCTTGCATAATTGAAACTCTGTATCCATTAAACAACTCCCCATTTCCTTCTGCCCCTTTTAATTCAATTTTTTAAAAAATATATATTTTTATTGACTTCAGAGAGGAGGGGAGAGGGATAGATAGAAACATCAATGATGAGAGAGAATCATTGATCAGCTGCCTCCTGCAGAGCCCTACTAGGTAGGGATCGAGCCCGCAACCGGAGCATGTGCCCTTGACCAGAATTGAACCCAGGACTCTTCAGTCCGCAGACTGACACTCTGTCCACTGAGCCAACCCAGTTAGGGCTCATTTTTTTTTATTTTACAAAAATTTCAGTCTGTGACCAGTTGGAAATAAAAAGGTTGTCCTTCACCTCAGAAAGCTTTATATGCCATGTTCTAAGTCAGGCAGCTTACTAGTAATAAAAAGAAAACATCTTTTTATTTTAAATCTTTATTGTTGAAAATATTACATATGTCCCCTTTTTCCCATTGACCCCTTATAGCCCACCCCACCCCCCTGCCCAGGCCTTCATCACACTATTGTCTGTGTCCATGGGTTATGCATAAGAAAGCATTTTAAACATGTTCTTGACTTGCAAATTCAGGTTTAAAGTCCCACCAAAAATATATATATATATTATCAGTGTTTGGGGAGAACAAATATACATCACTTCAAACTAGGTAAAATTAGACTGTGTTTTTAAAGCAACTTATTTCACTCAGACTGATTTCTTTTTCAGGTATGCCGAAGTCTTGACGACTGCTTGGCCATAAACAAGAGCACAAGCCATTTGCTCCTGTCCTCTTTGATTCCTCTACACTTCAGTCCTGGCTGAAGCATCCTGCTGTCACTCAGCCAACATGGACAAGTGATTTTTTTAAGCATTTTAAACATGTTCTTAATTTCAAATTCAGGTTTAAAGTCCCACCAAAAATATATATATATATATATTATCAGTGTTTGGGGAGAACAAATATACATCACTTCAAACTAGGTAAAATTAGACTGTGTTTTTAAAGCAACTTATTTCACTCAGACTGATTTCTTTTTCAGGTATGCCGAAGTCTTGACGACTGCTTGGCCATAAACAAGAGCACAAGCCATTTGCTCCTGTCCTCTTTGATTCCTCTACACTTCAGTCCTGGCTGAAGCATCCTGCTGTCACTCAGCCAACATGGACAAGTGATTTTTTTTTAATAAAAAAAAAAATAGACTTCACTAAGAATTTCTAGTTTAATAATCATTGGCTTGCCTTTTGACATACTCAGTCTTAACATTTCTTCAGTTACTCTACAACGGTTTGGCTTTGTGGATGGGGTTTCATTCATGCATGCATGCATTCATTCATTAATTCATTTTAAAGACTAAACTCTATCACTCAATTTTAGTTCATGAGATCTGTTCTTCACAAATTGAGGGTTTTAAAGTATGTGAGAATGATATATACATCAGGTGTGAACTGTCATATTTTCATCCAACCAAATATCCCTATAACTTGAGACTGTTTGCAGGAATAAAACTTCTAACACAGAAATATAATGTATAATAGTTTTATTTTTCTCATTTTACTATTTTTACATTTTATGCACAAATATTTTTATCTGAGTAAAAATAGAAAATAACTGTTTTATGTAAAATTACAAAAAAAATAAAAACCACAAAGAAATACATAATTGTTATTATGACAGTATAAGTGTCTTTATTTAAAGAGTAAAAATGTATGCAAAAATCCTCCTCCCTTTTACAAAAAATTGAGAATTTTTTTTTTTCTGGCAGCAAGTGAAACATCACTAAATATCAATATTTTTACACTTCCTAGATATGAAGACATTTAGTCAGTCACAGGTTGTTTTGCAATTATGAATTTAAAAACATTTTTGTGCTATTTTAAAGATACACTAGTTCTTTTTAAAGGCAGTAGCATAAAATGATGAATATGGAAAATAGCAGACCTTGCTGTAAATATCTGGAGGTACAAATCTTTAAAGAAATATCATACTTGAGTTTCACCATTCGTCAGGGGAGAAAAACAACTAAACAAATTTTCCTAATTAACTGACATAGACTGATACAAAATGAATATAATTAGTTGATTCATGTGAAGATCAACCACACAGAGCAATTCTGCCTAATTTGATTTTCTGATGCCAACACAAATCTCTAAACTTCAGGCTAGCTCTATACCTATAAAGTTGGCTCAGTGAGAACCTCATGTGGAAAACAAGTTTTAAAACGAAAGTGAACATTTCATTATTCTTGTACTTAAGGTATAATTTTATCTTTCTTCCTTTAAATATTTTGTAAATTCTCCTATGAAAAATTCATACATAAAAACATAACAAAGAATGAATAGTGTGAATTATATTTTCTTGCATAATCTTTCAATATGGGAAAAGTCTACCTGACTTTCTGTAACCTCAACAAGGACAGTGAAAATCGTTTACCGTAACTTGACACAAAGTAACAGAAATTTCTTGAATCAATTGGGGGAACTACCTATGTTATGGTGCATAAAATGATAAGAGGCAAAGGAGAAAAAAGAAAAGGGCGTGATCATGTATGAGAAATGTCTCTGTTCAAATTATAATGAGCAATAAAAACTTATAGAAAAAAATGGAGAATGTGTTATTGTTTTTAAGCATCTGAGAAATGCTACAGAAGAAATAATAATTTGAGACTTTAGGGATCTAAAAGAAATGTGAGTGTTCCTTGCTTTAAAAAAATAAAAAATGTATACACACACACCTATAACTGAGATATAAAGGAAGTCTGCCATCCTGGCTAAAAGGTTAACATAATGTCACCTTAAAAACATTTCAAAAGTCAAGTATTTTAAGCTCTTGAAAATATATCAGAATAGTGTAATTTTTTTAGAACTATAAGGGATTTGTCAATTCCCTAGGTTAGTGGTCGGCAAACTCATTAGTCAACAGAGCCAAATATCAACAGTACAATGATTTAAATTTCTTTTGAGAGCCAAATTTTTTAAACTTAAACTACATAGGTAGGTACATTGTTATTAACTTAAATAGGGTACTCCTAAGGCTTAGGAAGAGCCACACTCAAGGGGCCAAAGAGCAGCATGTGGCTCTCGAGCCGCAGTTTGCCAACCACGACCCTAGGCCATAAATGGATGGTATGAAACCTTATTTTTAGCTATTGGTTATCTGAAAGTAGAGCTTTTGTTATTATTTCTTATTGCTAGTCTACTCAGATATTTTTGCAACCACTGCACCCAATATATACTAATAATTTGTCAGTCAATTTTGTGTGTGTTTATAAAATGGTAACAGTGGGACGTTACAAACTTTATTTTTTTTTAGGTGTGTACTGCAGAGTCTTAAAGGACTTAATACAGTCATATAAATGGACCGACATTATACTTTGTAGCCCTATAGCACAGCACTGAAAATTATGATTTGAGGTTATCAGACAAGGAGATCATAGACCTCTCCTCTCCTCCTTGTTCCTAAGAGCCCTGTCTCCTGTGGTTCATTCCAAATGCTATTTCGTATATTGATGGCAGCAACTGCTAGCAATGCCATGTTGCCTACCTTACCATGGCCCTTTCCTCCTGGTTAGTCAAAAGCATTAACCAACCCTTATAAAGCTGTTTAGAGGGATGAATTTAAAGTAAATGATGAGGGAGAAGGTGCATAAAGTAATATTTGAGAATAAATCTTCTGCTATAAGAGGATTAGGAGTTATTTGCCAGTATCTCACATGAGGATTTGTACATAATACCTTAAAACAAACAACAAAACAAAAGATAGCAAAGAGAGCGAGCAAGCAAACAAAAAAGATACATATTTCTAGCCACTTCTGCTTAGTGTTAGCTTTGTGGTAAGTAAAGAGTTTCATATATAAAAGAATTATTTAATTTTTTAAGATTAAAAAAATGAGTTATTACCTTTTGAAATATCTTTCCTTCTGAATATTATGTCTTCATATATGTGTATACCTGTATTTATAGGAAATGGTAAAGTGGACATGTATACAGATATCTGTATACTCAGATATGTAAATATTCAAAAGGAGAAAATTAAGTAAATGGACAATTTTGCTTTAAGAGAAAACTGCCTGTACTGGAGGTAAAATTTTCTTTTTAAACTATTTGCAAATAATTTCCTAATATCTTGAAAGGTGAAGTACTGATGACTGATTTAAAGTCTTCATTTCATCAGAAACACAATGACCATGTAAGTAAGCTGCTCTGCATAATAAATCAGCATGAAAGAGTAATTTAAAAAAAGAGAGAGAGAGAGAGAGAGAGAAGCCAAACCAATTTTCTGGCTGAGGTATACCTTCTCGGTTTTTTAGATCTCTGACAGGAAAAACAGAGATCATTTCAAAATTTTTGTAATAGTTGGTTTATTAGATTCAATGCCTCTCTTAGAATAATTTAAATTCTTGACCTGACATTATGAATCTATACAGAAACCTGAGCCAGATTTAAACCTGGGTCTCCCTCTTCAGCACTGCTCTTCTGCCAGTTGACTTCTTTGTCCTTTGCTTGCAAATATATAAATTACTTTAATAACTTGATACTATTAGTTTAGTAATTTATTAATATTATACTTTTATTTGATATGACTATTTTAGCTCTGCCTGATTAGATGAAACAGGCACACATGCTTTAGCTGTTAAAGTCCCATTTTCTGGTTTTATGTAAAGCAACATCTAAAGCAGCAGAGAGGGTAAACAGTTATACTTTCAAAAATAGTTAAGCCAGACTGTTTCCTGAAGATACTTCATTTATTTTTCATCCTCAGATGCTGCTGGCTATTTTTGGTAGGGCTAGACATTAATACTGACCAGTTTAGCTTTCCTGACTGTTAACAAACTACCCACAATGAACCTGCCTTCATACTGAAGCCATTGTGGTGATCCTGTAACATATTCTAAAATATATGCTCAAAGTAAAAAGATCCAAATTCACAAGAGTATGAAATATTTATAAAAAAAATCATGCATTAGACTGTACAGTCCAGAAATAAAGGAAGATTCAAATTCAGTAATAAAGGTGAGAGCAATGCGTGCTCTCAGAGTTAAGAAAGACCTTGAAATCCCAGCAGATCCTGGGCTCAGTTATCCTTTTCTGCTTGCAGAGAAGCTGCAGCCAGGGCTACTGCTGTGACAGGCTGGGCGATTCCATGGAGCTGCATCTTTGCAAGTTTCTTCTGTTCACACTCTGTGACCAAACGGTTCAACTCTGCCGCACTGTATCCAATAAGAGTCTTCAAGTCACAGACAAACTTGTACACAAATCTCTTGCCCTGAACTTTACAAATCATGTCTCCATCATAATAATACCTTTAAAAAGAGAAAAACACATCAGTACTATATAAAAAAGAGAGTTTGGGCTTTGCACAGTATTTCATACTCTTCCATACGCAGAAGACTAAGAGAATACTGCATCTATCATAACAGAAATTAACATGGAAGTTATATAGAAATATTTAATGTTACTATGCAAGGAAACTTCAAAACATTACTTACTAAAATTTCAATGCTCAGCACTCCAAAACTTTACATACTACATTTTCAAAGCATGTTTTCCACAATTAGGATAAAACACTGATTTAAAAGGAAACATTATTAAATAAAACAAAAAAGTTTGGGAGCAGTAACAGAACCTATGGACAGGGGCTTAGAATCAGAATGCTGAGATTTGAAATCTAGCATCTTTTCTTATAATTTCCTTTGTGACCAGAAGAAAGCCACATTTTCTCTAAGCTTTTATTCCTCTTCTATAAAATAAGATTTTAAACAGTACTTACCCTCATAGAACTGTTGAAGATTAAAAGGATTACCTTTGCAAAGTGCCTAAGCATACAATAACTAGCACATAATCCTCTATAAAATATAAGCTATGTTAACAATTAAGAATCCATATAATGTGAAGAAATTTTTAATATATTCTATGGATTGTTGGAATGTCCACACTTCTTTCCTGTCTTGTACAAAACCCTATATTGTGTAACCATGCCTTCAGTTAATATGTAAAGACTTTCCTTTCTGCGAAATTCACCAAACCCAATAGGGAACCTCAAAAGAATAAGTAAAAAAGAAAAAAAGTATAAGTAAACAGGATAGAAGAAACAACACAGAAAAACGGGAAGTACATCATTAAGAAACAATGCTTCAAAGCCTTGGGGAAATCACTCCAGAACAGTGATTTTCAACCCTTTTCATCTCATGGAACACATAAATTACTAAAATTCTGAGGCACACCAAAAAGTACGTTTTACCATTATGACAAAAAAAAGTTATAATTTTGATTCAGTCACACCAAACGGCTATTGTGTTGGCTGTTGTCATTTTTTATTTGACAATCTAAGGGAAAAGAGGTCAGTGCCCCTGACTAAATAGGTATAGCATAAAAATTCTTGCGGCACACTGGTTGAAAACCACTGCTCTAGAAGTCTAGTTTATTGCTGCTTTCTATGGAGATGGAAATAGAACAGAATTTATATTTAACTCGGAAAACAGACTTTATTTACCACTATGCCCTGCCAATTCCAATTCCAATAAAGGAGGGTTGGGGGGGGGGGCGTCCTAAGTGAATACTTGTGGGCCGGCAGACTGTGAAGCCTTTGTGTTAAAATTATACTGACTATTTACACCCATTTGACAAAAGTTGTTAGTAAATTACAAAAGGAACATTTGCAAAAGTACCAATGGTATAAACTACCATATTTAGCAGGATTTTATTATAAAAGTCACTCCATTTAATTGAGTCCATTAATGAAATGACTGACCTAAACACAGGAAATCATGTCATCTTTCCCTAAATGCAGAAGAGCAAAAACAGAATAGTCATGTTCACTTCCCCCCGGTAAGATATATAACATTGGCTATAATCTTGTGTTTCCTTTTGTGTCAATTACGTTAATACATAATTTAGATCTCAGTCTACAAACCACCAAATGCTTGGCATCCAGTTTAAAATGCTACTGGCATTTCAATTTCTTAAGGAAATCCTATATAATAAAAGCATAGTATGCAAATTGTCCCCTCAACCGGGAGGTCATCCGAAAGTTCAATCAGGGGATGGGGCCGGCAGCTGGAAGCCGCTAGGGACCCTACCAGTGTACGAATTTTGTGCACTGGGCCTCTAGTTTCTACATAATATGTAAGGCTGTACAAGCAGACACCATAGAAAAAAGGAAAATGAAGAAGGGAAGTGGTTTTATATTTCAAAGAGAAAAATTAAGTTGGTATAGTCTTAAGTTTCTTGGCAAGAGGTGATAAAAAATTTATACACAAGTTTTAATTTTACTTAATACTTCCTTCAATCTAGTAGATAAATTACACAACCACCACCAATTCATTCCATTTGTCCCCTCTCTAAAATGAGGAAAGTTGAAAGGTACACAATCCCTGAATTTTCATGGTCATGATTTATTTCCTCCCTCTTTAAAAAAAAATATTTTTTTAACCTTTTAAATTGTGAAATATACTACACAAACAAAAAGGACAAAAAAGTGAACTCAGTGATTACAAATTGCACATTCACCTGTTAAATATGACTCAGGTCAGGAAACAACACTGCCAGCACCCCCGAATCCCCTCCATGGCTCCTCCCAATCATCACTTCCCCCACCCCAAAGGTAAACACAATCCTGTTTCATGATAGTAATCTCAGTGCTTTTATTTATAGTCTTACCACTCAAAAATGTGATCGGGAATTGAACCATGATCCTGGTTCACAGGTCGACGCTTAAACATTGAGCCATGCCGACTGGGCCAAAAATGCATCCTAAATGCTGTAACTTAGTTTTTCTGCTTTTTGCACTTTACTATCTAAATGCATTCATATAGGATATGAACGGGTCTGGATTTGGGGGGGGGGTGGGGGATCCGAATTCTTTCACTGAAGATTGTATTATGAGGTTTAGTATCAGTGCTTGTAGCAACAACAGTTCATTTTCATGGGTACACAGTATATTCTCTTGTATACCACTATTTATTTATTCACTCTACTGTTGACAGATACAGGCATCATGATCATAATCTCTCACTATGAAACTCATACACAATATCCAAGGGAAATGTGAAGTAGCAACATAAATGATATTTAGAAATACAGAAGTAAATTGCAGAACTACTTTACTACATTCACTCTTCAAAAATAATTTTTTTAAAAGACACAATTCTATGATATTCCTATATATACTACTTCCCAGATACTTAAAAACACACACTGAATTTCCATCATTGTAGCAAACATAATTTCTTATAGCAATTACATCAAAAAAATTTTATACTACTTAGGGGAAATTATAAGTAATTTTATTCCATTTCAATTCTATCAACGTAAAGGTTGGATATTCAGATTTAGGCAGATTGTAGGGGGAGAAAAAAACAGGAAAACAGGCCACCATTTTGCATCCAATTATAAAAAGACAACATTTTGCATATTTGCTCAAGTTTACACTCAACGCACCTATGCAAATGACAGCATCTTTATCTGTTATGTAAATAATAGAAACCTCAAAGATTAAATATGTTGGTTTTAAACAGAGTAGTATATGCTTTTAAATCAGACGAAAACAAGTAACTTTTCCCTATTAGGCTACCAGCAGATTACGGGACAGGCCTGGAGTGGAATGACACTCAAAATATTGAAAGGTAAGAACTGCCAGCCAAGAATAATCTATTTAACAGTTAACCTTCAGATATAAAGAAGAAACCAAGGCGTTCCCTGATAAACAAAAGCAAATAATCTTAGAATAATCTGTAAAAAAACCCTCTTATGTACCTCAAAATTATTACTAAAAATCTTTTTAAGAAGCCATTTTTAACATAAGTATGAAAAATTTCAGCATATATATATAAAACATCTTATGAACAAGTCAAGGATTTTAACACCATTACATCACAATGTTCACACCTAGAGGAAGGAGCCATTTTTTAGAAAAGCTTGATATTTAAAAAGTAATAAATCTTACCTTAATGCACGACTGAGTTTCTCATAGTTCATTGTAGGTTTATTTTTACGTTGTCCCCATTTTTGTGCAACCAGTTCAGGCTGATTTAGTTTAAACTCGCCTTCATCACCAACCCAAGAAATGCAGTCTCGAGCATCCTTGTCAGTAAGAAGTTCTAGCAAAAACTGCCACAGTTGAATCTGGCCATTATTTCCTAAATTGACAGGGACAAGCATTGACCAAAGTGCTATGAATTAAAAGAGGGCAAAAGGCAACAAACAGGCTCTCTGGTTTTTAGCTCAACCATGCTAAAAGCACAGTTTTTTCCAAAAACTGTCTAAGCACTGCCAGAGAAATAGGCCATACTCAGATTTTCACATCCTATATAATAAAAAGCCTAATATGCTAAGTGTCCGACCATTCGTTTGATCAGTCACTATGCTATGCACTGACCACCAGAGGGGCAGAAGCTCCGACAGGTAGGTTAGCTTGCTGCTGGGGTCCGGCCAATCGCCCTGGAGCCCTTCCACGGTCCCTCCATGGCCCCAATCATGCACCAATGGGGTCCCTCAGCCTAGCCTGCGCCCTCTTGCAATCCGGGGCCCCTTGAGAGGTGTCAGAGAGCCGGTTTCTGCCCAATCCCTGCAGGCCAGGCTGAGGGACCCCATGGGTGCACAAATCCATGCACTGGGCCTCTAGTAGTGAAATAAAACAAAATATACATAATTTGATAAATATTATAAATACCAGACGAGAATGCAAAAATACCTGTTCTGTTCCCAGGTGAACTTCTATCTTCTCCTGAAATCCTTGGAGCTCTTTGTACTTTAGCTGCCTTTGCACTGCTGTTTATACCTTTAATGGTAGTTGGTGTTGCAGACTGAACTGATGCTGGAATAATTTGGACAGCTGCAAATAAAGACAAGGGAAAAAACTGTTTCCACTTCTAATACAAGCAGGAAAAAAACTACTGAAAGACATAAAATGCAATTAAGTTTAACGAATGCCCCTCTAATTACATCAACAAAAGGCCTCATTTCAAAAAACCTTAATCCATAAGTTTTAAACAAAGTTACAAAAAAAGTTCCAAGGATAAGGTATGATGTTTGTTTGCATTACGGTTCATGAATCTCAACTTAGTAAGAGTTGGTCTTATTTTTTAAATAACTTAGTGATGTATATACAGTCTTAAAATATTTGTTCATTAAAACTGGTTTATCAAATGCTGGAGAAAATGTGGACAAATGAGGACTCACATTCCACTACTGATGAGAGTATAAACTTATACCACCACTTTGAGGAAAAAACTGGTAATACCTAGTAAGCTTGAAAAGGTAGAAACTTGATGATACTACAATCAGAGAATCTCATGTATATTCTGACAAATGCTTATTCAGTGATGTTGACAAAGTTGAATATACAGCAGTGGAAATGAATGAAATCAAGCAGTAAGTATCAACCTGGCTAAGTCTCATACCTTTACCCAAAAAGTTTAAATGTGCAAAACAATGCTATAAAGTATTTATGGTTACATAATTGGTAAAAATCTACATAGAACGATAAACATCCACTTCAGGATAGTCATTTAAAATGGGATCTACAGCTGGTAAAGTTTAGATTTTACATATAAAGATTTAGTTTTTAATAGGTATGGTGTTATGGTATATAGATGGTGGTTATCGTTTATTTTTTCTTTGTATATCTAAAATACTTCATAAATATTTAGTTTGTTCTTTTTTTTTACTACCTCACAGTACTGAATAAAGGAAACATTTCTTATTGATAAATGGGCCGTATATTATGGGCATGAATACTCACGTTGATCAATAGTAACTATCTCGTTCATCTGTTGTTCCTGGCTTGCCAATACATCTGAAGAACACAAATAATTTGTTTTCATTTAAAACCAGAATGTAAACCCCAATCCAGTAAAATTGAACTTAATAAATTTGATCCTTTTATAAGAAACTCCACAATTACAAGGAAAACCAAACAAACAAAAAAGCAAAACATTAAACAATTGAAACTTACTGGCATGATAACTTTAAAAAATATTTGATAATCACTTTATAACGAACAGATATTTTTAAGAGAAGTAGCAGGGAAAGCTTCAATTTCTTTTAGAGTTCATTATTCAGAGAGTAATTTCTAATGTAAATATCTATATCTAAATCTATTTATCTATCTATATAAAACCATGTAAAACATGAAAATCTTCATTATCAGATCAGAAAAGAGACTATATACCACATTGAAATTATTTATATATATACTCTTCAAAAAGGCTCCCTCAAGATGATCTGAGAAATCTTCATAATTTAATAATTTGTTCTAATATCCACTTTTTAATAACACTGCTTTAATTTGATAATGCTTTAAAGACAGATACATTTTCAATAAAACTGTAAATGTCCTAAATGTCACAACTGAACTAGATAATTTAACATGTCTACAAATATAGCTCCCAACATAAGAGTACATTGTAAACGGCCCTAACATAACCCATTAGAGAACCATTCGTTACTCATCTATTGCTATTCCTTACTCAGATGCTATTCTTTACCTCTCGAACAAGAGGAATGCTTCCCAATCTCTATTACTTTAGCCTATTTACTGCCCATTATTGTTCCGAAGCTTCTGTCTTGAAATTGAATTGTACCCACCAGCAATCATATGTGTACTGACAGTGAGTTCTGAGACCTGGGCTCCCAACACAGTTCTACTTAGGGCACCATGCCAGGACCCAGTTCCAGACACACAGAGCTGGAAAGGGCTGGGGAACTAAAAAGAAGTCTGAATCCCACCTGTCAGATGGAAGTTTTCTTTGGGGGTCCTGAGTTTGGGAGTTTAAACAACGACATGGAACTAGCCTAGGAGAGATCTGGATTCTGATCTGAGCACTCGCTCACTGGATGTGTGACTTTGGTTAAGTTATTCAACTAACTTGAACATTAATTCATGTTTAAATGAGATATCCTCAACCTACCATGAGGTTGTCCTGAGGATTAAAAGCAAATATTTTCAGGAACGTAGTGCCTGAAACATAGTTAATTTTTCAGTAAACTGAAGATGCTACCGCTTTATCCAGATTCCTAGTTTTGAGTATTTTCCCCAAGAACTGCTGTCTGCCTTGAAGAAAAATCCATGCCTTATGTTTGTGGCAGATTTCCCCCTCACCCCCAAATTTTATAAAAGTACCTTGAAGAGGTAAAAGGTGCTACTGAAATGGAAACTGTTCTATTTGTGACTATAAATGAACAAAGGTGCCCTAGCCTAAAAAGGCAAAAGAGAGAGTCACCATTACATAGCACAGGCATGACCAACCGATAAGATTAGCCTCTAAGCCCTAATTCTCAGAAAGAGTTTCATCTTTTTCCTGGGATCTCTCAAAACCGAAGGCACAACATGGACAGAGAGAGGTTTTTGAAAGTTTATAATAAGACCATATAGGCACTCTGTGATTTGCAGCCTTAATACAGAGATTAAATAAGATAATACATATAAAACTCTTACCACAGCCTTATCCAGTTAATAAATGTTAAGTATTATTGCTATTATCAATAAAATAAGCAATTATGATAACAAAGGTAAAAAAATAAAATTAAACCTAAGTTACAATGTAAATAGATAATAACTCCAATTCATACATTTTCGAAGAAGCTCCAGATGACTCCAGAGAATTTCTCCCCGAGGGACCCGTTGAAAAAAATCTTCTTGGTTGAGACTACATAATTCTCGTCCTGAAATGTTGAGTGTGCTGAGGTCTATATCAGTCATGCTGAATTCCTTCATGACCCAAACTACCCAATGTAAGACTTGGTCTGTAGACCACTGTATAGGATCTAAAAAGAAAAAATATTACCATTAGCCTACTTTCATCTTAGATATTATATACATTTACAGTTAACTTGTCAACACACACACACACACACACACACACACACACACACACACAATCCAAACAGCCTTTTTCTCCCAAGTAAGTAAATAAACAGTATATAAAGTAAAAAGATTTTTATGCTACATTTTCTTGGTAGCTATTTTTCAATTTCTTAATCTAAATTTTTGATGGATTCCCATGGTTATACATCATTTAGTCTGAAATTTTATCAAGAAAAACAAAATGCTAAATTGCTCTCCAGTGGGCCAACTGGAATAATATATGTGATTATGGATTAAGATATCCAAGTTTAAAAAATTGTCCTGTAGCAGTGTAGGATTTGGTGCACTGAAAAAAAAAAAGGGGGCGGGGGGAGTTTCTAAGGAGCTAACTTATCCAAAATGTGAACCAAGTACTCATTCCTCCCTTCCACTTCTTGTAAAAAGCTGGCAGCTCTGCATTTTCCCTTATGGTGGCACTTACCATATAACATGCTAACTGCCTCTTTACTTAGCTTTCTTCCCCTATAATTCATTAAGGTCTTAAATACAAGGACTGTGTCATGTGAACCATTCTATCTTCAAAACTTACAGTGCCTTGTGCATACATTTGTTGAATTTACAAAAGGTGAATCCAAGTAATTTCATGTCCTCATCACTTTTTATTGATTAAATTCACAAATGAAAAAATGGCCAACACATATAAATATTTCATTGTTGTATCCCTGGGACCTAACAGCATTCTACCCAGAGAGGTTTAATAAATACTAGCTGAATTAATTTTGGTATAGATATTGATGCATGGAGATGATCAATCCAAATGATAGTGGTTATATGCCATCAAGATGCATGCTATTCAATATGAAAATAAGTGATAAAAATAACATTTAGGTACTTATCAAGAGCCAATTTATAGTAAAATGAACATAATCAATATAAGAATACAGGACTAATAACCACAGAATTGATTATTTTGATTTTTCACAAAGAAGTTAAGGAAGGAGGATTCTGAGAAGATAGCAGCAGTTTTAAATTTCTCTGAATTTAAAAAAAAAAATCACTAAAAGCAACTAGAGCCCTAACCGGTTTGGCTCAGTGGATAGAGCGTCGGCCTGCGGACTGAAAGGTCCCAGGTTCAATTCCGGCCAAGGGCATGTACCTTGGTTGCGGGCACATCCCCAGTAGGAGGTGTGCAGGAGGCAGCTGATCGAAGTTCCTCTCTCATCAATGTTTCTAACTCTCTATCTCTCTCCCTTCCTCTCTGTGAAAAATCAATAAAATATATTTAAAAAATAAATAAATAAAAATAAAAGCAACTAGAGAGCAAAACAAAAAATCCATTAATATTTACAATAAAACCAGGAGATAAGTTATCCCTTGGACCCCAAAATACATGCAAGGTGAAGGCAAAGCAGTAATAGGCACAAGCCCTCCATAGTACCAGCATCTGTGCAGGAGAATGCACAGGGAGAAGCAAAGAGACATCTCACATTATCCATTGTGAGTGCAGGAAAGCCTGAACACCGTCAGGAAGTATTCATTAAAAGCACAACAGGCCAAGGTGAAAGGAGCAACTCAAAGTAGTTTTGCCCAGTCCAACAGCAGCGAATACAAAGGTCTGTGGTAAGGTTTAAGGGGCTAGAGCAGTGTAACACCTGTGACTTTTTCAAACTGAGCCAAAATCACTTCTAGAGATTGGCCACAAAGGAGAAACTGGTGGGAGAGGAATTCAAACTGAGTACAAGAAAAAGGAAAGAGCAGGACCAGGTAATAAAAGTGGAGTAAGGAAACAGACAGAAATTGAGAAACAAGTGGCTCTATATTTGAATACTACTTAAAAATAAGAGAGGAGGGGGTGCAGAAGGTTAGAAAAACTATGCTAGACCATTCTTCTCTTTAAGAGAGCACCCTAGCTAATTACGCTCAGTGGATAGAGTGTCGGCCGATGGACTGAAGGGTCCCGGGTTTGATTCCAGTCAAGGACATATACCTTGGTTGCAGGCTCAATCCCCAGCCGAGGTTGGGGTGTGCAGAAGGCAACCAATTGATGTGTCTCTCTCACACTGATGTTTCTCTGTCTCTCCCCCTCCCTCCCACTCTCTCTCTTAAAAAAAAAAATCAATGGAAAAATATACTCAGGTGAGGATTAACAAAAGTCTATGAAAGCTCATTTTAGATAAAAGGAAACAAAAAAGTACCAAGATCTAAAAAGTTAGGAGAAAATAGAAATAGTCTGATTTGTTTTCTGAAATAACTAGAGGCCTTGTGCACAAAATTCGTGGGGCGGCGGCAGGGATTCCCTCAGCCCAGCCTGTGCCCTTTCACAGTCTGGGAGCCCCCGGGAAATGTCCGACTGTGGGGAGCGGGCCTAAGCTGCAGTCGGACATCCTTAGTGTTACTGCAGAGGCGGGCTGTTGCACTCACTAGCCATCAGCCCAGCTTGTGGCTGAGCGGTGCTCCCCCTGTGGGAGCGCACTGGTCACCAGGGGGCAGCTCCTGCATTGAGCATCTGCCCCCTGGTGGTCAATGCGTATCATAGAGATCAGTTGTTCTGCCATTTGGTCAATTTGCATACTACCCTTTTATTATATAGGATATCAGTACTTCTGGTTTGACATTACTAATTGGCTATGCTTGCTTCTTTTCTCAAAGACTCCTGTAAATGATAGTAAAAGACTTTTTAAGAGATGAAAACTCATAGGAATATAGCTGAGAAATATCAGAAATGATTTGGGAGATTTCCACAAATTTTTTGAAGACAATAAGCAGAGTGAAAAGCCAGCAAAGTAGGAAAAGCTATAACCTAAAAGATCTATCAAGGAGAATAACAATTAAGTGAAAGTATTCCTGCCTACAGAACCCCTACTGGCTCAGGTCATGGTGGTTCCAATTGGCAGGAGAGGTTTAAGTGAAACATGTGGAGACTGATTTAAAGTATCTGGTGTGTTTAGTACCTGCAGGGCCTCTCCTTCATTCTCAGGAGCCAACTGAATGGAAGCATCCCCAAACACGTGAAAACCAGGGAGAGAGACAAAGCACAGAGTGAGAAAACTGATCTCAGTAAAAAAAAGTCTAAAAACTGAGGAGTGAGTCCTAGCCGGTTTGGCTCAGTGGATAGAGTGTCAGCCTGCGGACTGAAGGGTCCTGGGTTCGATTCTGGTCAATGGCATATGCCCAGGTTGCAGGCCCGATACCCAGTAGAGAGCATGTAGGAGGCAGCAGATGGATGATTCTCTCTCATCATTATTTCTATCTCTCTCCCTTCCTCTCTGAAATCAATAAAAATCTATCCTATATAATAAAAGCATAGTATGCAAATTGTCCCTCAACAGGTGTTCTTCCAGGAGTTCGACCAGGGGGTGGGAGAAAGGGCAGGGCCAGTTGGGGAAAGGGAGGGAGGCCCCGGGCAGCACCCAGCAGCTGCTAGGGACCCTACCAGTGCACAAATTTCATGCACTGGGCCTTTAGTTTTAAATAAAATAAAATCTAAAAAAACTGAGGAGTGATACCCTCTCTACCTTCCCACCTTCCATGTCCCTTTCCACTTCCAAAATGCAGCATTCACATCCACATTAACCCTAATTCCTCATGTCAACCTTCTATTCCTGAGAGATTTTTGGCCAATTCTTCAGAGAAGTTTAAGAGACCCAAGAAACAAATCTATACATAATAACACTTGACAATCTTTTTTTTTTTTAAATCCTCACCTAATATGCTTTTACTGATTTTTAGAGAAAGGAAGGAAGGAAAAGAAGGAGGGAGGTAGAAAGAATGAGAGAGAGAGAGAGAGAGAGAGAGAGAGAGAGAGAGAGAAAGGGAAACATCAATGTAAGTGAGAAACACAATCAGTTGCCTCCCACACACACTCCAACTGGGGTTTTATAAGCTACAAAACAATTTCTTATCCACTACCTCTCCTCACTACTCATGCACACTCCCACTTCCCAGTTTTCCACATACTTTCCCTGTCAGGAATGTCCTTCTCTATGCAATAATTTCTTTGTCTAGAATAAATCCCACTATGACCTGTTTGAGATGCTAATAGCATGTAACAGTTTAAAAACACATTATCATTATGGAAATTACCTCTTTTCATCTACCTTCTCTCACTGCAACTACACTGTTTATACCCTAAGGGTATACTTTTTTTTACATACAATCATGTGCTGCATAACGATGCTTCAGTCAACAATCGACCACATTTATGACAGTGTACCATAAGATTATAACAGTACCTGAAAAATTCCTATCACCTAGTGACGCTCTAATGATTCTAACATTGTGTGGTACAAAAGCTGCAAAAGCCAACAGCCATGGTTGAGATGGCAAACGCCTTAACCTGGGTGTGGAAGAGGAGGGCACCGCGGAGCTCCTAGAGGTGGTTTCCAAGGAACTGACTAATGAGAAGTTGTTGGATCTGGCACAGGAACGCATAGCTAAAGAAGCAGCAAGAGAAAAGGAAACTGCAGAAGAAAAAGCAACCCCGAAAAAACTGACAGTGAAGGGTTTAGAAGCTTTTGCAGACCTCAACAAGCTCCTTAAAAACTTTGAAAACATGAACCTCAACACTGAAAGGTTTCCATTAACAGAGAGGAATGTTCATTATGTTTACAAATAAACCTATGATAAAATTTTTTTAAAAAGCAAACCACGATAGATATATTTCTAAAAAGAGTGACATCTCCTCAATAAACGCCGCAGGCAGGTCCTTCGGAGGTACTCCAGAAGAAGGCATTGCTATTATGGGAGATGACAGCACCATGGAAGGTATTTATTGCCCCTGAAGACCTCCCAGTAGAACGGATGAAATGTAGAGGTAGAAGACAGTGATTATGATGATTCTGACTGTGCAGACCTCGGGTAATGCATGTGTTTGTCTTAGTTCTTAACAAAAGTTTAAAAAGTTAAAATAAAAAATTTAAAAAGCTTATAGAAGGATCTAAAGAAAATATTTTTGTACAGCTGTAAAATGTGTTCTTTAAGCTACATGCTATTACAAAAGAGCTGAAAAGTTTTAAAAAATTAAAAGTAATAAAGATACAGGAAGCTAAGATTAATTTATTGGTGAAATAAGCTTTTCTGGTGAATTATGTGTAAAGAGATTACAACGTCTATAATAGTGTATAGTAACTCCCTAGGCCTTCACAGTCACTCACCACTTATTCACCGACTCCCAACGAGCAACTTGCAGTCCTGCAAACTCCACTCGTGTGTATCATTTCTATCTTCTGTACCATATTTTCACTGTGCCTTTACTATGCTTAGATACACAAATACTTGCCATTATGTTACAATTGCAACTGGTGTTCAGTACAGTAACATGATATATTATGGGTCTACAGCCTAGGAGCAACAGAGTATTCCAGACAGTCTAAGTGTGTGACAGGCTATAGCCCAGTGATGGCGAACCTATGACACACGTGTCAGAGGTGACACACAAACTCATTTTTTTGGTTGATTTTTCTTTGTTAAATGGCATTTAAATATATAAAATAAATATCAAAAATATAAATCTTTGTTTTACTATGGTTGCAAATATCAAAAAATTTCTATATGTGACACGGCACCAGAGTTAAGTTAGGGTTTTTCAAAATGCTGACACGCCAAGCTCAAAAGGTTCGCCGTCACTGCTATAGCCTGTATGTTTGTACATGTGCGCTCTGTGTTTGCACGATGACAAAATTGCCTAATGGTGCATTTCTAAGAATGTACCCCCATTGTTAAGTGAAGCCGGATTGTACTTCTTTGTATTCTTAGCACCCAGGACAGTATTTGTCCATCATGTGTTATGGTCCAAAAAAAGGAAAAATACAGAAAATCAATATTCTCCCTAAAAATTCTACATTTAAAACAAATTATAGCTTACCCTAGTATCTTCTATGTCAAGCTTAATTCTCATTATTCAACCTAACACGTAATTATGTATTTTCTTACCATACGGTATCCCAAGGCGTTCTTGCTCTTTCCTATAACCTTCTAGTGCGGCAGCCCATCTGGTCACTTGTTCCGAGGTTTCATCTGAAATGGTTGTAATGTGTTTTGTGCCATCAAGAGTTATCACTTGAGCTTCTTCAACAAGATGTGCTTCTGCTTCAGCATGATGAGCATCTGGATCAATGACTACTTCAACTGTTTCCGCAGGTTTAACAATTTCAAGGATGTTGAGCTTTGGTTCAATTCCTTTAACAGTGAATTAAAAAAATATCCAGATGAAAACATGAAATTCACTAACAAAATTTAGTTGAGTTATATGTTCTAAAATGGTAGAGCAAAACTCCATTTTAAATGTTTAGCAATCTGTCTAGAGAATTTAAGAGTCCTATTAAATGATAAAAATAACAATTCAATAGAACTTTGGTATTCTATATATATAAAAGGCTAATATGCAAAGTGTCCCCTCGGGAGCTCAACCAGAAGAACAGGAGTTCGATCGCACACTATGATGTGCGCTGACCACAAGGAGGTGGCGCGGAACATGGCGGATGACCAGCAGTGGTGACAGGGCGCTGAGGGAGCAAGGGAAGGAGGAGGCGGGGAGGCAGGGGGAACTGCGCAGTGGTGGCACACGGGCTGCGAGAGAAGGAGGAAAGGAGGAGACAGGGAGGTGGGGAACCTGATTGGCCCTGATCGCTGGCCAGGCCTAGGGGCCCTACCCATGCATGAACTGGGCCTCTACTCCTAAAGTGCTTAATATGTTAAGTGTCTGGTCGTCTGTTCAACCAATCAAAGCATAATATGCTGATAATATGCTAAGGCCGCTCAACCACTCGTTATGACATGCACTGACCACCAGGGGGCAGACAATCGACTGGTTGACCAGTCGCTATGACATGCACTGACCAGCAGGGAGCAGACGCTCCGACCAGTAGGTTAGCTTGCTGCTGGGGTCCGGCCAATTGGGACTGAGCAAGACGGGCCAGACATGCCCTGGAGCCCTCCCGTGTCCCTCCCCAGTCCCGATTGTGCACCAGTGGGGTCCCTCGGCCTGGCCTGCGCCCTCTCACAATCGGGACCCTTCAAGGGATGTAGGAAAGCTGGTTTCTGTCCGATCCCACAGGCCAAGCTGAGAGACCCCACCAGTGCACAAATTCATGCACCGGGCTTCTAATATTATGTAACAGTGTTGTGTCAATTCATATTTCCTGATTTTGAGCATTGTACTGTGGTCATGTAAAAGAATTCCTTATTTTTAGAAAACGCATATATTTAGGAATAGAAGGGAAACATGTCTGCAACTTATTAGTAAATAGGTAAAAAAAAAAAAAATGTGGGGGTGAGGAAGAGAATAAAGCAACTTCCTTTGCAAAATTTCTCTTTTTGTGCTAAACTGCAGAGTCTAGATCGCCTTGCAGCAAGGGTACCTAATGTGACTTAGGCTCTAGAACAGGGGTGAGCAAACTTTTTGACTCGAGGGCCACAATGGGTTCTTAAACTGGACCGGAGGGCCGGAACAAAAGCATGGATGGAGTGTTTGTGTGAACTAATATAAATTCAAAGTAAACATCATTACATAAAAGGGTACGGTCTTTTATTTCAATAGTTTTATTCATTTCAAACGGGCCGGATCCAGCCCGAGGGCCGTAGTTTGCCCACGGCTGCTCTAGAACCACTGGCATAAGCCTTCTATTGAGAAATGCGTTAAGAGGGGATAAGCAGGCACATGGGATCCATTTTTTGGCTCCAGTGGAGCCCTGAAAAGGAAGCATGGTTCTAGCTTATGGCAGGCAGGGCAATTGTCAGTCCTGCACTGCGGCTGAGTCATCTTAGAAAGCCAACTAGAACCTGTTCTTCCAGCCCTCTCTGTGATCCTGTTATTTACTACCCTACCTTGCTGATTAAACCAGGTAAAATGTGTGATACTATCTGTTTAACCTTGACAGATAAAATAATTAATTCAAAAGCCTTAATATTTGGTTATAATATCACATTAAGTAATTTAGACAACCATCTAAAACACCCAAAACTTATGAAATTGAGTTCTCATATTAGAAAAACATGAGTGCAGTTTTAAATAACTACACAAAAATTAACTTACCTTGGTAAGACATTACCTGTACACTAAGTTGTACAGTTCCATCTGTTTTTACTCCTTGGTCAAATAAACTTCGTTCTGGATCCAGCTAAATATGGGTAAAAGGAGTAAGATTATTCTCACATAATCATCTGGTTTAATAAAAATGGATATATCAAACTATACTTAACCACTAAAGTATACTAATTAAATTATAAGAACACATTTAATTATTCAAGTTGTAATATCATGTAATTCTTTGCCAAAATTTAAAATATTTTAACCACTGTGTTAGTAATTAAGGACAACATAAAGAACAGAATTTATTTTAAATTACAGTTTTCTCTAGCTCTAGAGTCTAGTTTAGGATTTTAAATAATGCCCAAAAGCAACTGTTTATTCCGTAAAAGTATTTAAAGTAGAAAACAATGCAATTTATGTTATTAAAAAGCAAAAATATTTAATTAGTGGGGACAATTTAAATAAATTTATTTATATAACTAGAGGCCTGGTGCACGAAATTCATGCACGGGGGAGGGGGGATTTAGTTCCTCAGCCCAGCCTGTGCTGCGTCCTCTCACAATCCAGCACCCCTCAGGGGATATCAGGCCAAAACCGGCAGTCAGACATCCCTCTTGCAATCCAGGAAGCTGCATGCACCAGTGACCATACTTTTCATACAGGTGAAAGGCATCTTGCTGTTGTATGGGCAACTACATTTTTTTTTGCCCTGATTATAAAAAGCAGTACATAACATGATCCTCCTGAGGCAGTAGTACCATTTTCCCCATCTTATGGGTGGAAAAACTGAAGCAGAGAGAAGTTAAGTAATTGGCTTTGTCACACAGTTATAAGTGTCAGAACCAGGGCTGACCACAAAATGTGCAAGCCAGAGTCCATGCAAGCCAGAGTCGCTGCATCATCCTGCTTTTTCAGTGTTAGAGTAGCCTTGCCAGGTTTTAATTTTTAAATCTAAGAGACTATTCACAATATATAGGGTAGCATCCCTAGGCCTGGCCAGAGATCAAGGCCATCTGTGGGGCAATTGGGGGCCCTGCTGACACCCGCCTTGGCTGGCGACCTGGCGCCACCCACTGGCAGGCCCGCCCCCCGATCGGATCGCTGCTACTGGTTGCCTCCCTCTGGGGCAGAGGGGGGAGGGGGGTGCAGACTCTTAACGCAGGAGCTGCTCCCAGTTGGGGACAGCTCCTGAGTTGAGCGTCTGCCCCCTGGCAGTCAGTGCATGTCATAGCAACTGGTCATTCCTGCCGGCTGTTCTGCCGTTTGGTCGATTTGCTTATTAGGGTTTTATTATATAGGATACTTGCTGTTATCTCTCTTGTAACCAATTATACACATTTAAGGTCAGGGTTAATGCTAAATCTCTGATCACAAAATTATTAAGGGACTTATGACTTTACTACCTAACCTAGATATGAATATCTTTACTCATAATTCTATATCCTTTAAGTATGAGTGCTTTTTCCCCTCATATCACCTTATAGTGAATGCATTTCACACAATGACAAAAAGTAATTCTGATTTTCAGATATGCACTTAAATGCTAAGATATAAATTTAATAAAAAGATTACCTGAATTTCTTGTAGACAAATTTCATAAGCATCCAAAGAACACTGTAGTCTTGGTTCTAGTAGTTTCTTTAAATTGCCTATTGGCTCATTGATGTCTATGGCCTGGCTTACACATTCACCTTGGGTGTAGGGCTGTTCTACAATGCTAAATGTTAAAGAATTTAATGGTTAAAAATTACATTTTTACCCTGAAAATTAAAGTAACAATACGCTCAAACCAAAACTGAATATCAAAACACATTTCTGGTCTTTGAAACTCATGTCTGCATAGACACCATTCATAGTGGTAGACTTATCACCAACTAGTGCTGCCAAAAGACTAAGTCCGAAGTGATATAGTGCTTCTTAAATTAGGTTATGTAAAACAACACTGCAGCTCCCCATCTTGGTGAGCATACTCGCTCTCTCAGGCCATTTGCCACATCATGAGCAGCCCTACAGAGAAGCCCATGCGGTCAGGAAGTGAACAGTCATATCACCAATCTCATGAGTGATCCTGTAAACAGATATGCTAGCCCCAGTCAATTCTTCAGATGACTATAGCCAGACTGACAGCTTAACTGCAAACACATGGAATACCCTGAAGCCAGAACTAAGTTCTGGAGTAATTTGTTGAGTAAAAGAGACATGTAGTCTCTACTGTTTCCTCTGTTAGAGAAAATAGCATAGTGAAACATGTTGAAATTCTCTATCAAAAAAATTAAGGCCCCTTGGGCAGTCATGACCTTTTCTGTCAGGAAAATGTTCCTGTGCCAGGCTATGGTGGCAAAGGATATGACCGAGGACAGCTAACGTGGAGTTTTCCTAAGAGCTAGAGCCAGACCTCTCCTCTGAGAAGAGGAGGTGGTATGAGTGACCACAGCCAGCTGGCAGAAAATATGGAGAGTTGCTAAACAACTAGTATAAATCTCAATTATGCCAGATGAATAAGTTCTAGAGATCTGTGTAGAACATGGTTCTTATAGTTAAATACACAGTATTGTACATTGAAAAATTTGTTGAGGGTAGATCTCATGTTAAGCGTTCTTACCACAATAAAACAAATTGTTTAAAAAACTAAAGTCTAAAATCTTAGCTGTACTCTAAACACTCAAAATCCTATTCACTCTAGTAATTTGGTCCATTCTCACTGCAGTTATTCTAAACTTTTACTATAAAGAAGTTCTCTACTACTCTTTAGTCCTTTTTACTTTCAGTGTATTATCTCATCTCCTGCTTTACAGAATAAAGCAGGACCATTAGCCCTAACTCTAGCCTTCTTATTAACTCCCAAATCTCTATTTTTACCCATATTCTCCCTTTGGATTCTGAAGTTACAACCACTGCCCTTCTTCCTTAATGGAGTAATATTCTATTACTATCCCAAGAACTAACACCCTTCACTACTCTATATGCTTAGTACTGTGCACATAAGTACTCATAAACCTGTATACCTTCTCAAACACAATGTGGCCTCTACAAGGGCAGGTTACTGTCTCTTATATACTCCTGACAGTTCACAGTAGTTATGTTTAGATATTTGTTACATTAGTTCAGATTGAGAATTAAACTCTATAGGAAATCAAAATAACCAGCACAGATGAAAGAAAAAATAATCAAACAGTGCCCTGAGGGATAAAAACCATCACAATCAATTGCTTGATTACTAGCTATGCATATTACTATCTTTTTAAAAAATATATATTTTTATTGATTTTTGAAGAGGAAGGGAGAGATAGAAACATCAGTGATGAGAGAGAATCATTGATCGGCTACCTCCTGCACGCCCCCTCCTGGGATTGAGCCCACAACCCAGGCATGTGCCCTTGACCCGAAACAAACCCAGGACCCTTCAGTCCGTAGGCCAATGCTCTATCCACTGAGCCAAACTGGCTAGTGCATACTATTATCTTTTAAAACTATCTTTCCCTCCCAGCTACAAATTCTTTAAGTCAGAGTAAAAAGCAATACATTATCCCCCAAAATGCTAATGTCAGTTGAAAAAAAAAGGCCCCCAAAAAACTCTGGCTTGATTCTTAATTTTAATGTATGTGGATAATATATAAATTCAGATAATACCAACCTTTCTTCTGTGCATTCTGTTTTCTCTGTTCCATCAATTTCAATTTCTATCAGCTCCTCTGCTTCTCTTTTTGTCATGGTTGAAGTACTTCAAAAGCTCAGTCCTGTAAGAGTTAAATTTTAAGACATTTTAAAATTATCTGCACAAAAGAAATGCTACACAAGAAGTAGAGATCCAATTCAAATAAAAGCAGAGAGTAAGTAGAACAAAAGGAAGTAATCTTCACACATAAAAGAAAATCCACATGATACTGATAAACTAGTTTTGGTTTACATGGTGTTTATTAGCCTGACATGAATTCTTCATCGTTCTATTGAATTTATTGGGATTTGTTCAGCCCAATCTCAGTCAATAAATTAACTCAAGTTACTTCAGAATCAAATGAAAGGTATGTCAACTATATTATAACAACGTCAGTCTCAATAACAGATTCAAACCTGCAGCTTAAAAATCAACATAGAGCTCTGACCAGTTTGGCTCAGTGGATAGAGCGTTGGCCTGCGGACTGAAGGGTCCCGGGTTCAATTCCGGTCAAGGGCATGTACCTTGGTTGCAGGCACATTCCCAGTAGGGGGTGTGCAGGAGGCAGCCATTCGATGTTTCTAACTCTCTATCCCTCTCCCTTCCTTTCTGTAAAAAATCAATAAAATATGTATTTTTTAAAAAGATTAAAAAAAGATCAACATAGAGATGAACCACTATTGTTTACCTAAAAGCTGTACTGTATTAGCAGGATGAAGAATGTACTTTATTAGCATTGTACTGATAGAGTGATATAAAATTAAAGTTAATCCTAGCTATGATTTGTTACAAATTACATATCTTGTAAGCGCCAGTATAATATTCTGAAACAGCAAAATCAAGTAACAAAATAGTTACCAATATGTATATTGTTGTATTATATTGAACTACTACATTACTGTAGGACTAGAAAAGTCTTCTTTTCCACTTCAGAAAGGGCTATACCTCTCCTCAGGCGTATAATTAGCTGGCACTCAAATCGAGAATGCCTGGTATAAAAATGGTCTGATTTTCCCCACATTATTAAGGTTGCTCCCACATCCTCTTATATGAAGACCAGTAAGAGGCTGAGGTTCTCCAGCAGAATAAATACATATAATGCACATCTAGCAGACTGCCTAGGCCAGTGATGGCGAACCTTTTGAAAAATGGTGGCGTACCAGCATTTTGAAAAACCCTAACTTAACTCTGGTGTCGTGTCACATATAGAAATTTTTTGATCTTTGCAACCATAGTAAAACAAAGACTTATATTTTTGGTATTTATTTTATATATTTAAATGCCATTTAACAAAGAAAAATCAACCAAAAAAATGAGTTCGCGTGTGACCTCTGACACGCGTGTCATAGGTTCGCCATTGCTGGCCTAGGCCCTGGCCAACTTTTGCTTTCTTTTGTTCTGACCCTAGCTTAGCAGAACTTCCCTTTCCCTAATAAAGTCTATTCCTTAACACACTATTTGTAAAATTATGTTATTTATCTTGCGCACTAGATCAAAACAGGTGGTGACCCTGTAGGACAACATAACCTCCACCTGGTTTGAAGGGATATTAGTATGTTTACAGATGTATACAAAATACTTTGAACAGTACTTCACTCTTAGTAGGCACTCTATTAGATGAAATGTTTTAGAAACTATCATCCTATATAATAAATGCCTAATATGCTAAGTGTCCAGTCCACCGGTCGCTATGATATGCTAAGGCCGTTCAACTGCTCACTGATGTGCACTGACCACCAGGGGGCAGACACTCCAATCAGTAGGTTAGCTTGCTGTTGCGGTCCAGCAGATTAGACTGAGTGAGTTGGGCCTGTCATGCCCTGGAGCCCTCCCGCAGTCCATCCCCGGCTGGCCAACCTCCTGTGTCTCTCCCTGGCCCCAATCCTGCACCGGTGGGGTCCCGTGGCCTGGCCTCCGCCCTCTCGCAATCCGGGACCCCTGGGGGGATGTCAGAGAGCTGGTTTAGGCCCAATCCGACAGGCCAGGCCGAGGGACCACACTGGTGCACGAATTCATGCACTGGGCCTCTAGTACCCCATATAAAATTGACTCCAGGTCCCCCAAAGCAGCGGTTCTCAATCTGTGGGTCACGACCCCTTTGGGGATCGAACGACCCTTTCATAAGGGTCGCCTAAGACCATCAGAAAACACATATATAATTACATATTGTTTTTGTGATTAATCACTATGCTTTAATTATGTTCAATTTGTAACAATGAAACTGGGGGTCACCACAACATGAGGAACTGTATTAAAGGGTCGCAGCATTAGAAAGGTTGAGAACCACTGCCCTAAAGGCTTAAATGTGAAAGATACAACTATAAAGCTAATAGAAGAAAATAGTGGGGATTTTATGGTTTAAGAATAAAAAATAATTTGTTAACATTCCAAAAATTAAACCATAAGAAAAAAACTAATGTATTTGATTATATAAAAATTAAGATTTATGTTCAATAGACAGGATAACGACTAAGAAAAGATACTTTCGATATCCAAAAGTGACAAGGGAATAACTGGAATAGACAGCAAATTCCTACAAATTGGTAACAATCCCCCAAAAGTCAGGACAAATTAGAAAAGCAGGTCAAGTATAGGAAAAGGAAAGTAACAGAGAAAACCAAAATGGTTAAGGATATAAAGAAATGTTCAAACTCAAATCATTCAAAAATGCAACTTAAAACAAAAACTTTATACCTTGAGTGTGTGTGTGTGAAAAATGTAGTGTTGAATACTGAAAAGGATAAGCAGGGATGTGGAGCCATAAGAATCCTCTGCTTCTGTAAAGTACAGACAGGTCCAGCTATTCTGGAGAAAAATCTAGATTCTAGCAGCACTTGCTCAAATCAAGTATGCTAATACCTGTGACCCAGCACGTGCCCTTAGATAAGCATTCCAGAGATATTGATTGATAAGGACGTTCAGAGTAGCTCTGTTGGGGATAGCTGGAAGCTGGAGCCAATAAAAGTATCCATGGTGCCTTAGCCAGTTTGGCTCCGTGGATAGAGCTACAGACTGAAGGGGCCAGGGTTCAATTCTGGTCAAGGGCACATGCCTGGGTTGTGGGCTTGGTCCCCAGTGTGGGACATGCAGGAGGCAACCAATCGGTGATTCTCTCTCATCATTGATGTTTCTGTCTCTGTCTCTGTCTCTGTCTCTCTCTCTCTCTCTCTCTCTCTCTCCCTTCCTCTCTGAAATCAATAAACATATATTAAAAAAAATAAACCAATATCCATGGTAAGAAAGTACTGAGATATAAGAAAATGTGAAAGAAGCAGACACCATGAAACTTTAGTAGCAGTGAAAAACAAGGAAATAATGTACACACACAGAATCACAGAGTGAGCCATCTCCCTAGGGAGCCCCTGCCTTGCTTGCCTTTCCCCTCCCCCTCTTGGCCCCGGGCAGGTTACCATTAACTTCCTCATTCCCAAGCTCCTGGGGCCCTTCCTTTACTAAGTGGTTCTCAACCTTCCTAATGTCTCGACCCTTAATACAGTTTCTCATGTTGTGACCCAACCATAAAATTATTTTCGTTGCTACTTCATAACTGTAATTTTGCTACTGTTATGAATCATAATGTAAATATCTGATATGCAGGATGTATTTTCATTGTTCGCGACCCACAGGTTGAGAACCGCTGCAAGTTTACTTCTATAACTTGTTTCCTAAGCCCATTACTTCTAGGAATTACTGTTTCTATCTCTGTAATATACCCAATAAATGTTCTCTTACCAAAAAAAGAAAAAAATATATAAAAAGTGTTGTGTACTGAAATAGTGAGAAATAGTAAGGTTGATAGCAGAACAGAACTTTTAAAAGATATTTTTGTTTTATTTTCAGGGCCTATAAAGAGGTCCACTCCTCTCTCCATAACCAATTTTATTTTTTAAAAGGTTAGGAAACAATTGAATTTTCCCAGAACTTTGGGAAAAATAAAAAAGTATATGAAAAAGTAAGCAGAGGCCAAGAAATGGCCCTAAATTAGGGCTTATCAGCAGGGTTACCTGTGTTCCCCATAATATAAGCACTAAAACAGGGACTTGTTAAAAAGAAATTTATCCTGTGATCTTCCAAAAAAGTTAGAGATCAGTCCCTAGAAGGTGCCCCCCCCCCCCAAAAAAACACCCATATACTTTAGAAAAAAATACTCAGTCTCTAAATTGATCCTTTTCTCTGTCTCAGGTCTCTAAATTTAGCCTTGAAAGTAAGAGAGATTAGGAAACGGTCCAGATCGCTGATGTCACTACTTGAGTGGGTCTTAGCTCTTTTTCTGGAATCAGGATTCTTTTACAAAACTTAGTGGAGAAGAGAACATCACTTGGAGCCTTTCCACCTAAGGGCTGCCCTGGTTTCTCCCAGATTAAATCTCACCTGGGGTTCAGAACCCTTCACAAAATGGAAATAAACTAAAAAGTCCAGAAAAGGCTAGTATTCTTTAAAATACAGTTACATTTAATATTCTCCCTTGGAGCTACAGATAAACTTGAGAATTAGCCTGGCTGGTTTGGCTCAGTGGATAGAGCATCAGCCTGCGGACTGAAGGGTCCCGGGTTCCATTCCATCAAGGGCACATGCCAGGATGAAGGCTCGATTCCCCAGTAGGGGGCGCTGCAGGAGGCAGCTGATCAAGGATTCTCATCATTGATGTTTCAATCTCTCCCTCTCCCTTCCTCTCTGAAATCAATAAAAATATATTAAAAAAACAAAACTTGAGAATTAGTCTTCTTCACTGGAAAACATTATTAGTTTGGGACAACTTTTCCCAGTAAGGGCAATACTTATATGTAATATTTACCTATATTTAACATACAACATGTATTAAAAATACACAAAATGTGCATTTAATATATATAAATGTAATCTACGAGTACCTACCTGATTAACTGAACATTTTCTCAAACTAAAAAATACTGTTAGATACCTGAATAAAAAAGTTTTTGTTTTTAAAAATAAAGTCAACAGCCCAGTGTGGCTCGTTGTAGCCCATGCCACAGGAGGCCACGGGCGCCATCCCCAGGCAGACACCTGCCAGGGTTTCCGCTCGAACTCCATTGGTGGGACTGGAGGCAAGAGGTCCAAGGATGATGTTTCTCCCTCTCCCCCTCTCCCTTCCCTTCTCCAAAATCAATAAAAAATATATATTTGAAAAATAAAATTAAAAGTTAGGGAAAAAAGTAAAACGTGTATTTGTGTGTGTGTTTGCAGAGAGAGGGAAAGCTGACTAATACTCGCTGACTTCCCCCCACCAGGTGAAGGCGTTCACTGTACAATTTCATTGTATAATTTTTCAAGTTTCCCGTAGATTTGAAATTTTATAAACAAAACTGGAGAAAAATGAAAGAGGTTTAATTTAGTATTCAGCCCCCACATCCTCTTATGAACAGCCCCGATTTAGCATCCAGTTCGGTAGCTACCCTCCTCCTTCAAGACCCTCTGCCCCTCCGGACACGCAGTCCTGTCTGCCCTGCGGTCCGGGTGGACCGACCTCAGCCCGCCTCGTCCGAACACAGATCAGGCTGCAACGTCCGGATCAAACCCCGAGGCAGGGGCCGATCCCGTACAGCGGTTCGGGAGGAGCGGATCCGTTTCTTCTGAAGTTTCGGACCACACGGCGCTGGCAGGACTAGCGCTGCCCGGCTCCTCGCTCTGCGGGAGGGAGTCCCCCATCTCTGCTCCTCCCGCGGGCGGGCCCACGGCAGGCTTCCCGGTGACTGACCCTCACCCCCGGCCATGCACGGCCTTCCCGCCGTCACCCCGTAAACCGGGGCCCCACCTACAGACGGGCGAGCGGCTCCCTCCAGCCCACACAGCACCACAAAGTTGGCAAACTACACGGACCCAGCATTTCCCCGCGTCTTCCTGCCACTTCCTCCAAGAGGCCCCACGGACAACATGAGCATCGACAAGGGGCTCGGATGCCACGACGGGACAGTTCGAGGAGGACAACGGGACTGGGAGGGAGAGCCCATCGCCGAGGCGGCGAGACTCGTTTCGCTTCTTCCTGTGAAACCCCGGGAGCCAGGATCACGTTCCGATCGCAGAGACTGCGGACCGCC